AGTCCGTCCTGGCGGTGGGCTGTTGATAGAGTTTGGCCCGTTGGTGACGTGGTCGCCCCCCATTGGTGGCCGTTGGCGTGGCCATTGGGGGGGTGCCACGTGTAGTGACCGTTGGGTGGGGGGTTCTATAAATACCCCTCCCCCTCCGACGAGAAAACGCATTTGCATTCTGAATTTGTCGAAGTGCTGGCCGATTTTCTAGAGAGATAAACTCCCAAGCCTGTTCTTCGTGTTCTTCGTTGTTCAAGGTTAGTGTTCATCGCGATCTTCCTCACTTTTCATACTTTGCTTCCTAGGTTGTTGATCTAGTGTTAGGCGTTTGAACACCATTAGATCTTAAGTTAGTCTCCTTAGGCCCGTAGTAGTAGTTATGAAGAGCTTGAACGACGACTACTACCCCTATGACGACCAGCCCTCCACGAGGTCGCTTGACTACGAGGTGGTCGAGGAGTTTGAGGAGGAGATAGAGCGTTTAAGTCCATACAAATCCGGAGAGCCAGAGGACGAGGAAGGCGAGGACGAGGAGTCCGCCTCCTCTTCAAAGGGTGAGGACGTAGGTGCGTCCCGAGTGGTGGACGGGGCGTCCACTTCTGCTGTCATTCCGTGCCCGAGGCCGGTGTCTGCTGTGAAGGGAGCAGCTAAGCCGAAGAGAGTGAGGAGGCCGAAGAGTGGGCCGGGCACCTCCCAGTTGGATCTCACCAACATCTTCCTGATCAAGCCGGAAAGCAATGCGGCCGACTATCTCGTTGCCCAGATGTACGTGGGGCCGTTCGGGCGGGTTAGGGCACCCAGGCCGACGGATCATGTTCTTCTTCCTCCACCGGGATACTTTGGAGTATACCCGATGAGTTTTGCTAAGGGGTTGAGGTTCCCCCTTCACCCTTTCATTACTGAGTACCTGGACATGATAGGGTTTCCTCCGGCCCTGCTGACGCCGAATAGCTACTCCTTGATGGTGGGGTTTTTGCTCCGGTGTGAGGAGTTGGGCTACAGGCCGACAACGGCCTTATTCATGAATTTGTACCAGATCGGCCGAGGAAGCCACAAGAACTGTGCGGCCTATGCTACTCTTCAACAGCTGCCGAAGAAGAGAAGTTTCACGGATTTGCCTACGTCCATTCATGGGTGGAAGAGCAAGTTCGTGTTTGTGTCCATTGGTGAGAGTGGCACCGAGTTTCCCTCCCTCGGCCATACCGGGAGGTTTAATGTAACACCCCTAAATTTCCCGCCCAAAACATTGATATATTTAAAAGAAATACTTTATTCATTCATCAAAAGGGAAATGAGTGTTACCGCCACATTCGGTCATCTCTTAACCGAATGCACAGGCAACTCAAAGTAGAACAACAAAAACTAATGTAATAATAAGTAAATGTTTGTTTTATGACTAGATTTAACTAAGGCATCTTCTAATTCGCACTCAAGCTCGAGCAATCCGTCAATCCACATAGGTATCCAACTCATCACCTGATAAAATTTAAGGGAGAAGAGAGAGACAAGAAAAATAACAAAAATTAGCTTTAGAGCTAAGTAAGTACTACCCAACCCCGTAAAATAATCAGGTTTGACTAAAAATAGATTTTTATATAATATCATATAAAAATGACGCACTCCACCAAAATACTTTTCTCCTTGATTTTTCTTAAAATCACTTCTTTGCTAAAATCTTAAACTTCTCTTGGAAAATCTCTTAGTAATTCTTCTCTTTAAACTTCTTAAGAAAATCACTTCTTCTCTAACTTCCTAGTAATTTAGAAGGGCGGTGCTCAACCTTTCGACTGAGCCCGGTGGACCGTGGTTACGGACGGCCACCCCGAACAAGTGCCGGTACCACAACTGCTCTGTGGAAACGAAACGACTACCTTAAGTGTGCACACCCCCTAAAAGGGATTCCAAGCCCTCCGAGTAGTAAGTCATCCCGAGTGGTCGGAACCCAACCACCCCAATTCTAAAATTCTTGAATGATTAGGGACTACTAGTATAACTTCTTCTTAAAAGGGATCATAGATCCAAATCTTACTTAAAAGGGATCATAGATCCAAATCTTACTTAAAAGGGATCATAGATCCAAACTGTACTTCTTAGTAGTAGTAGCTCTAATCACCCTCCACATTTATCCGGATGTGGAAAAACCGACACCTCGGATTACTCCCGAGATGCTATCTTCTTATGAAAATGTAAATTTTATCTTTGCTTAACAATACTTGAAAAATACTTCTTAATTTCTCTAAAAAGTCTCAAAGGTATTTAAAAATATTTAATACCCCAAAAGTACTTGATTTATACTTCTTAACTACCATATATATAATATCTTCCCAAAATCACATACACAAAATTCACAATTCACACTTAATCACATAATGCATATAATAAGCATATAATACGAGGAAACAATTTTGGATTGGCAGAGAAACTTACCTTAAGTCCTGATGCTCCTAGTTATCCTCCTCTAATCTGGTCTCTAGATAATCACCTTTTTAATTAAATATGATAAATTAGTCACTTATTCTATTTGTAATTACTTTACCCGATTTTCCCCTTTTATTGTATTATTCGCATAAACTTTGGTTAATCACTTATTATTAATCAAATTACCTTATTAATTCAGCCATTAATTACAATATTTGAATTCTAATATTAAGTAAACTATCCGAATATTATTGACTACAACATCCACTTTTTATTCAATAATCACCATTAATTTTCTCTAATTATTATCTAATTACTTTATTTACATAACCGAAAATATTTATTTTCCTTATTTTATTCAAACATTATTTTTAGTCCAGAATATTATTTTTCAACCTCAGTGATTTATTTATTTCACCATTAATACTAATATTTCCTTATTTAATTACTTAACTAGTTTTATATGGCCTAATTTAAATAAATAGACTAAAAATCGACTTTATAAATTAGTAACCGTCCATAAATATATTTTGGGTCTATATTAGACCTAGGTTGTCCAGATATCTATTTTATAATTATTTCCCATAATTATTCCTTTAATTTCATATATCTATTAACCGGTTTAATTACAATTAAATATACTAAACCTTATTTTTATTAATTATAAATGGTCCATAAGGTCCTAGTTAGTCATATATTTATCCTAGTTTACTCCAATATTTATTTCATAATTATTTTCGTCATTTAGTTAATTATTTACTAAATGTGTATAAATTGGCCTAATTACCATTAAATCAATTAAAAATAGCTAAAAATATTATTTTCCAATTCTGGTTGGTCCGAATATGTATATTTATACTAGGTATTTAATTTATATTTTTCCAGATTTTATTTATTTCATTTACTATTTTATTTTTAATTTTTATTGCAACTGGGCCGAACTGGCCCATTTATAATTTTTTTCTGGCCCAACCTGAAAAGGCCCAAAAGACAGACCCAGCAATTGCTGGGTTGTCTTCTTCCCCAGGTCGCCGGAAAAATGGGGAGAGAGAAAAAAACGGGGAAAGAGGTTTTACCTCGTCGGAAACGGCCAACGGGGGTAGCGGTACACTCCTCTCGGGACGGCGAATGACGGTGGTGGATTGGCGGAAGTGGCAGCCCCTCCCTCTTCTCCGTTTTCCGTCGAAAAGCTTTTCTCCGGTGAAACTCCGGCGAGGCTTTTCTCCCTCGTTTCACGACCGTTTTCAACGATTCTTTTTCCGTTGGATTCGTATCACGAAGGGGAAGGTTTGAGAAGTATTTTCAAGGCTTGGTTCTGGCTAAAACGCTGGGTCGCAAATATATATATATATATGTATATTTGTATATTTCTTAGTTTTTTGGGATGAAGAAAACGCAGGTTCTGGCCTATTATTTATAGGGAAAGATGAGGGTTTTAGGCTGGGATGTTAGAGTTGGAGTTGGAGTTGAAGTTGCCGGCCAACAAAACCTACCGGGTGTAGTTTTATCTCCCGTAGGAGTTTACTTAATATTATTTACGTAGTAGTAGTAATATAATAGTATAATAGTAGGAGTATACTTCTATAATACGTAGGTAGTATTAGATTAGTTTTATATTATTGTATTACGTAGGTTATATGTATGTAGGTAGTTTTATTAGGAGTAGGTTTATTATATTTTATTTATTATATTGTTGTATTTGTGTATTATTATACTTAACTTAAAATAGATATATATATAAAAGTTAATTTTATACTAAAACATTACTTCTATTATCGGGCCATTTTTATCTGATTAAAAAGTCGTAAACTTGGAAATTTTTATCTGATTAGGATGTTACAACTGTTGAATTTTTGTCTGACTCAATAAAAATGTTATTTTCGTAATATTTTATCTGAAAAAAAATTATTTTTATTTTTTATTAAATTTTTGAAGTGTTACATTTAACCTGCACGACCCGCCGAAGAGCTCTATTTTGGACGCTCAGGTGGAGGCTTTCTTGGAAGGGGGGCCGAGGAGCGTGAAGGATTACATTACTGAATACAAGATGGCCGCCCTCGGCTTCGTGAGGTACTATGTCTATGGTGACAAGGAGGATGACCTCCAACTCTGGCCGAGGATGACCACCACCTTTGAGGAGGCCGACGGCCCGGATTTGGGCATTCCTGCTGAGGCCGATGGTAATTCTTTCTTTGGCTTTCTGTCTTTATGTTTTGTCCTTTGCCTTACTATTCTGTTGTGTTTTTTCCTTTGTAGATTTTGCCATGGACCGACGTTCTATGATGGCTATTGCCAAGGCCAAAGCGGCCGAGGAGCTGGCTGCTAAGGCGGCCGAGGCGGCCAGACGTGCCGCGGCCGGTGGGAGCGGGGCTACTGCTGATGCGGCCCCAAAGCCTGCTCCATCGAAGAAGAAAAGGCCGGCCACTGACGGCCAGAAAAAGTTAACTGAGGCCGGCCTGAGCGTCTCGAAGAAGACGAAGAGGGCTCCTTCCCCTTCTCCGGCTACTGAGGCCGGTACTCTGACTGTCCCCAGCGTGGACGATGGTGGCCCCGTCGTGGACCTTACTGCTGCTGACAATGCTGCCCCATCGCTTCCTCTCGTCCAGGAACCACGGACGAAGAGGGCCGGCAAGGAGATTGCCGGTGCCACCTACCAGAAGGTGGTAGAATACCCCGTCGGCGGGGGCGTGTTTAATGATCTCGTCCCTGGCCACGTCGTCCTGGCCCAGGCCATGCCGGCCAAAGATCGGGCTTACTTGAAGAAGCTCGGGGACGTGAAGATTTACGAGGGCGGCATGGACCTCCTCGTCCAAGTAAGTTACTGTCCTTATGTTTTTGTCTTTCTCTTCGTCTGTGTAGAGTCTTTTGCCTGACCTTTGTTTTCCTTCTGCAGAGTGCCTTTATGCTTATGGAAAGCCATAAGAGGCAGTATTGGGAGATAGCTCGCTTGAAAGAGCTGGAGCAGAAGGCTGCCTCGGCCGACGAGGCGGTAGCTTGCCTTGATCGGCTCCGGGAGGATGCCAAGGCGTTGCAGGCAAGGGCTGATGAAGCCGCCGCAGCCAGGGACGATGCCCTGGCCAAGCTCGAGGAGAGCAAAAGGGAGCTCGAGGAGTCCCGAAGGGCGCTGGAGGCCGAGAGGCGCACGAGCGAGGAGGCCGTCAAGGCGAAAGCTGAGGCCGAGGCCGCCGTCGTGAGGGCTGCTGATGAGGCCGTTGAGAAGTTCCTGGCCGAGGGGTGGAAGGCCGATGAGAGGCTTCCCTGGTGCTACGAAGTGGTGGCCGCCAGGCTTGAGAGTTGGGGGATGAACTCCCCCGCCGGCCGGGAGTATTTCAGCCGGGAGATGTCCGTTTATTACAACCTGGGCCAGGAGCGGATGCAAAGGCTCCTGTGTCGTCGGCTATCCCGTGCGTTGAAAGCCATGAACTATACGTCCGGGTGGGCCAGGCGGAACCTGAAGCTGCCAAAGCTGATGAAGGATCCAGAGGAGCAGGCCAAGCTTCCTCTGTCGGAGCGGGAGTCCACAATTGAAAGTTCCGGCCTCGGTGAGCCGGACTACACTGAATTTGACTTCCTGGACGATGCCACTAGCGCTGCGGCCGCCGCCGAGGAGGGAATTGACGAGGCCGAAGAGCCCGCCGAGGAGGGAGCCGACGAGGTTGAAGAGCCAGCCGCGGATGAAGGTGCCCCGGAGGCTTGATCGGCTATTCCCTGTTGTAATTAGCTTTTCAATTTTTTGCCAAATGATGTAACGGCCGAAGTGCCCCCAATTGTAATGAACTCACTATCAATTGAAGAAATTTTTGTTGTCCTTTTCGGCTTTGAATCCCTTGTATGGTTGTTTGCCTTTTGTCATTTCGATTCTGTAAATTGTCTAAGTGTCAAGTCATAACTTAGGTCACCCGCGAGTCTCCGCTACGTCCGTGAGGTCGTCCACCCTGTCCGGTGGCCTGGTCGGCTTGTTCGTCGTTGCTTAACTATCATAACACTTAGGATTTTTTACAAAAATTTCCTAAGTGTTTTTGGGTTCACTTAGGTGCTTTCCTTTTGCCCTTGATCGTGGTGTCCGCTACGTCCATGGGGTTTAGTCTCTCCCCATTATTGGCAAATGGTTGGGGTGATTTGCCAAGTGTTGAACCAGTGTCATTGTCGGCCTGCATCCCTGTGTTGTGGCCGATAAGGGCACCTTCACCATAGGCTTGTGGACTTTGAATTTTTCCCAAGTACACATGCAGAGGTGTAGGTAGCTAACGGCTTTGTAGTATACTGGTACCCGCTTTGGCTAGAGTTCCTTCATTTGAGTACTTAGATAATTTCCCAAGTATAAATGTTAGGCATTTACTTCTTTGCGGTGCCGCTGCCGGCCAAGGTCTGGCTTGTGGCCGATGAGGGTGCTGGATAAGGAATGGTTTGTCCAAGGAGATGGTCCTGCCTTCGTCGGCTAGCCATGGTTCCTTGTTGAGGAACCCTCTTTTCTCATGATTTTTTCTACGTGTTTGGGAAACACTTAAACAAATTCCCAAAGAACTTTCGCTCGACCAACGGCCTTGGTTCCAGTGCCTGCGTCGGCCATCCTAGGTGGTGTGGCAAGTAGAGGTTGTTTCTTGAGTGCTTGATCCTTTCGCGGGTGTGATAAGTGCCCGCTTCGTCCTGGTAATCCTCAGGATTGCGATGCCTTGTTTCATACCAAGCGTTGGTGCCTCAAAGGACTATGGCCGATGAAGGTCACCTCTCGCGTGTCACCCAACCGATGCGGTTAGGGTTTTGTAGGCGTGTGTGTCGGCCTTGATCATTCCCTTGTAGTGCGTGGACGTGTCGTCCATGTTACCTGTTTGTGGTACTACACTTGTGTTCAACTGATATGTACTTGGCCTAGTTGGGCCTGAGTTGTGGGGATTTTATTTTTTCATTGCTCGAGGCCGGCTAGTGTGCGCGGCCGTCGGCTTCCCTCTTTTTCCCTTATATTATTATTTTTTTTTGTTTCGGGGGGTATCCTTCTTTCAGGCTTCGACCGAAGGGTGTGCTCGTCCTTCGGCCGGTTCGGACTTCGTTTATAACGTCCGTGGTCTCAGGGCGGGTCCCGTCGCCTATTTATGACGCGGGCTAGACTTTTGGTCGGTTTCCAACGGCTGTCGTTGCCCATCCCTGAGTTTTGGGATTTTGTCACCTCGGCCATGATTTCAGGCCTGTCGTCCTGCGTTCTGGCGCGTGGACGACGCGGTGAGCTTCCCGTTTCAAGACGTGGGCCGTTTGCGGGCCCCTCGTCCTGGGGACATCGTCGGCCATACCTGAGTGTCTCACTTCTAGGCTTACGGGGCCAGGACGATGTGCTCTCTCAGCTAGGCCTGAGCCCTTCGCTGATACAAAATACAATGGAGTGCCTGAGCTTGTCGCTCGTAGGCTGCAAATGCAAGGGGCCATGTCGGCCAGACCTGAGCCTTTCGCTCTAAGGTGGCCGACGAGGGCACCTGCTAATGTTTTACTTTGAATTTCCAGAGAAAAAATCAGAACATGATTTTATTCATAAGTGGCTCGAGGCCGAGGGTGGCGTTCGATCAGTAACCCGTTAAGGGGTGAGGGCTTCGCCGTCTACACCTCCTTCGGATTACTGATAAAACTTCACCAGATGGTGTACATTCCATGTTCGTGGTACATTGGACCCATTCGGGCGTTTAAGCTTGTAGGTGCCGGGTTTGACCACGGCACTGACGATGTAGGGCCCTTCGTACTTCAATGCTAGCTTGCCACCCTCTGTCGGCTGGCTTGCTTCCCTCCGGCGGAGGACGTAGTCCCCCACCTGAAATTCCCGGGAACGTACCTTGGCGTCATAGTATGATTTTACTTGACGCCGGTAGTTCTCTGCTCGGACGTAAGCTTGCTCACGCCTCTCATCAACCAGGTGTAGGTCAATCTTCATGTTCTCTTCGTTGGTGTCAGGCTCATATTGTTCCACCCGCCGGCTGGGGATAGCAACTTCCGTGGGCGCCTTTGCTTCAAAGCCGTAGCATAGGGCGAAAGGCGTTTCACCTGTCGCCCTCCTCGGCGTGGTTCTGTAGCACCACAGGATGTTGGGGAGCTCGTCGACCCAACTACCTCCTGCGGCCTGGAGGTTCTTCTTCAGCCCCTCCATAATTGTTCTGTTGGCGTTCTCGACCTGCCCGTTGCCCTGAGGATAGGCAACGGAGGAGAAACGGTGCCTCACCCCAAACTCCCGGAGGAGGTCCTGGAAAGGGGCTGCCTCGAATTGGGTGCCGTTGTCTGATATAATCTCCTGGGGGACGCCAAAGCGTGTGATGATGTTCTTGTAAACAAATCTTTGGCATCTGGCCCCCGTGATGCTGGCCAAGGGCTCCGCCTCGACCCACTTGGTGAAGTAGTCGACGGCGACGATGATGTAGCGGTTATTCCCGGCGGCTCTGGGCAGGGGGCCGACCAGGTCAATTCCCCACCTGGAGAATGGAATTGCGGTGCTGACAGGGGCATAGTTGACAGCTGGCCGGCCAGGGGCCTTCTGGAGTACCTGGCATGTGGTGCACTTCCTGGCCAGGTCAGCGCAGTCGCGTGCCATCGTCGGCCAGAAGAAGCCTTGGACGACGAGACGCCGGGACATGCTGAAAGGGCCCTGGTGTGAGGAGCAGACGCCACAATGAACCTCTTCCATGGCTGTGTCGGCCTTGTCCTGGTGCAGGCATCGGAGGAGAGTGCCATTATAGGACCGTTTGTATAGTTTGCCATCTTCGATGGTGTAGCTTGGGGCCCTGAGTTTGGCAAGTTTGGCCCTCTCCTCATCCGGGGGCAGCTCCCCCGTTGCGATGAAGGTGGCGATGTCGGAGATCCAGTCCTCTGGTCGCTGTTGGAAGCACAAGACGGGGCTGGCATGGATGCTGGACATGCTCAACTCCTCGATCTTGGCCAACTGGGAGATGTGCTCCGGGGTGTCCGAGCTGAGCTTGGAGAGGATGTCGGCTTCGGCGTTCTCGGCCCTTGGGATCTGAGTGATCTCGTGGGTTTCAAACGCTTTCAGCAATTCCTCCGCCGCTTGTTTGTACTGCTTCATCCGGCCTTCCTTTGCTTCGTACGATCCCTCCACCTGGCCCACTACCAGTTTGGAGTCGCACTTGATTTTGAGGTGCTTGGCCTTGAGGCCAGCGGCGAGTCTGAGACCGCTGAGGAGGGCCTCATACTCGGCTTCGTTGTTGGATACCCTGAAGTTGAAGCGGATGGCATAGTAAGCTCTGAACCCTTCAGGGGATATGAGGACGACGCCGCCGCCGCATGATTTCGCGGCCGACGAGCCGTCAGTGAACATGGTCCACGTGTCGTCCGGCTCCGGCCCAGGGTTGGCGACGGCCGTCTCCCTTGCTGTGCATTCAATGACGAAGTCGGCCAAGGCTTGCCCTTTGACGGATGGCCTCGGCTTGATCTCAATCTGAAACTGGCTGAGGAAGATCGCCCATTTCACCATCCTCGAGGAGCTTGTGGGCCTCCTCATGAGTGCGCCAAGGGGCTGTTGGGTCAGCACATGGACGGTGTGGGCTTGGAAATAGTGCCCCAGCTTCTTCACTGTGTGGACGATGGCCAGCACCGTCTTCTCAATGGGGGAGTACCTGAGCTCGGCCTCCCTGAGCGTCTTGCTGATGTAGAAAATGGCCTTCTGCACCCCTTCGTCCTCACGGATGAGCACGGAGCTGATGGCCGACGTGCTCACCCCTAAGTACAAGAAGAGGGTTTCGCCGGCTCTGGGCTTGGAGAGCACGGGTGGGGACGACAAGTACCTTTTCAATTCGTCGAATGCTTCCTGGCACTCCGTCGTCCACTTGAAGCTGTTGGCTTTCCTCATGATCTGAAAGAAGGGGAGTGCCCTCTCGGCGGACCTTGAGAGGAACCGGTTTAAGGCCGCCAGGCGCCCCGACAGTCGCTGTACCTCCTTGACGTTGCGGGGCGGCTCCATGTTGATGATGGCCTGTGTCTTCTCCGGGTTTATCTCGATGCCTCTCCGGCTGACCATGTAGCCGAGGAACTTGCCGCCCTGAACGCCGAAGGCGCACTTCTTGGGGTTAAGGCGGAGCCTGAACTCCTTCATTATTTCAAAGATTTCCCGGAGGTCGTCGGCGTGGGAGGTAGCTTGCTTGCTCTTGACGATCATGTCGTC